TTATAAGATTTTCAAAACAAACTTTCCGAATGCATTTTAGAATGGGTTTTCTGAAACAAAATTTATAAAAAAAACTTTTGAGAATATATCTTCTAAAATGAACTTTACAGACATTACATACAAGTTTTATGGAACACTTATAAATCTATTTTGGATAAGTTAACTGTGTTTTAAATTTCTCAATCTATATTCGAAATTCGAATTTTTCTTTCTAAAAAAGTTTATGTATAGTTATTCCTATGGTGATCTACACACATTTAAATTAAAATGTCTACGCAAATGGGCTGACACATGTAATTTAAAAAAACAAAAAAAACCTAGTTTTTTTATTTATTTTATTTTCTTTTACATTTTATCTTTTTTTTTTCTCTTTTTCATCTTCTTCTACCCGCCTCAACCCCAACATCAAGGGTTAGCTCCACTATCCAACCAGACCCATTGGCGGCGACGTTGGTCGCATCCGGAACACTCATCGGCGTCGTCATGGGAGGTCCAATCATCTATTCATTCCTTCTTCTTCTCCAGCCTCCATCCACACACAACTTCGTCTTTTTTCCTAAATTGTTCTATCTCTTTCCCCTCATCAAATTCTGCACAACTCAACGTACATTCTCTTTTCACTCTCGCACACTACTGTGTCAATCGTGGTCTCCACCCTCGAGGACGAGCTCCAAATCTGCCGTCGTTGCCGGATTCCGACGAGCCTCATCCAGCAGCGGCTTCAACGTCTGCAAGTATGGATTTGCGTGATTGTCCTTTTGGTAATCTATCCTTGCAGTGATGAGTACTAAAAGCAGTGTAAAATAGAAGTGTAATAATAATGATGCAACTAAGGTGTTGATGAGAATGATCACGATAATAACAATAATTACGTAGAATAATGAAAAAGAATAGTTTTTTTTTTCTTTTATTTAGTATGAAAGTGCAATTGATAATAATAAAGATGTGCGTAGAAAAACTATTTTTATAAGTTTTTCTATTTTTGCGTATTTATCTTTTTTCTTTTAATATTTTTTTGTAGTATATGTTTTCAAATTTCTTGTCCTTTTCCATGTTAATTAGCAGTTCTTTTTTGTAAGATTTTATAAAAATAGTATCCTTAATAACTTATCTATAATTACAAAGATAAAAGAGCTTATCATTACTTATTATTCCAAATCAAATACAAAATCTATTAAAATGTAGAAATGTTAGGTATTTTTTCAATTAATATATCTTTCATGATATTGATGGACATCACGTTTAATTTTAGGTTTAATGTTTTGGTAGTTCCATATTTTTAGCTAAAATCTCAAATAGGTTTCCGACTTGTTCGACGTCTCAATTGAGTCTTTATTTTTGTAAAATTAAATTAAACAAAGGCTTACCGTGAAATTGAACAAACGCCGGAGGATGTTATGTAACATGTTGACAGTGTACATTTAATTGACATGACACTAAAAAGGTGTGTGAAGTGTATTTTTTTAATTTTTGAATAAAAAATGGAATGCAGCAGCCCTTCCTCTGTAATTGCGAAATCGAAATCAGATTGAGGCCAAATACTATAAAAACAACAAGTCGTTGAATCCAACCTTTAATTTGGAACAAAGAACTAGGTTTGTATTGAATTCCATAGAAAACATGAACCAGAACGAACCAATTAAAAGCTTCTCGATTTTTATTATACCTTGTAGACGGGGCCAAAACCTCCCTCACATAGCTTAAACCTCCCTCGCCTAGCTTGTGAATATCACTAAAATTCTTGGTGATAGAAGCCAAGGTTTCCTAGGCAAAAATCGTCTGCTCTTGCGCAACCATTTTTTGTATGTCAGCTTCATCGCTTCCCTCTTAGCAAACACAACAGAGCAGAAACATAATTTTGGTAAAAAAATTGCGAGTGTGAGACTTGTCCTTGTCCTTGTCCCTGTCCATGGCAGTGTGTAATGAGAATGTCTATGGTTCCAAATTTGAAGAGATGCCCATGAAACGAAAACGGGAACCGGAAAAGATGAAGTATAGATTGAAGCAAAATTGTGATCTTTTTGGGGAAAATGAAAAATGGGTTTGTGGGGAAACTAGAGTTGGAGAAGAAAATTGAGCTTTTGTTGGCACATAAGAACAAATAAACAATGGAACAGAAGAGAGAAGTGTGTTGCACTCGTTGAACTTTCATCAGTAGAAGAAGAAGAAAAATAGAACATGAAATCTGCATTTCATTATCCATTGCGCTTTCAATAGAAGAAGATGACACTTTTGTTTTTTCCCACAAACCATAAAACTCATCTTCCCCTAATCTGATTTCGATTTCGAAAGAGAAAGGGGTTGATGCACTTGATTTAATTTCTTTTGCCCACTTTTTCCTTGTTTAAATTTTATTTATACTGTGCACTCCATTTTTAAATTCAAAAATTAAAAAAATAGACTTCACACACGGTTTTAATGCCACATCAATTAAAAGTACACTGTAACCGCGTCTTTTCAATTGCCACATCAATTAAAAGTACATTGTAACCGCGTCTTTTCAATTTGACGGTAAGTTTTTATTTGATTCAATTTTACAAAAATAAGAACCAATTGAGACGTCGAACAAGTGAAAGACCTAGTTGAGCGTCTTTTCAATTTGACGGGAAGCTTTTATTTGATTTTTTTACAAAAATAAAGACCCAATTGATACGCCAAACAAGTGGAAGACCTACTTGAGATTCTGGAAAAAAAATAGGGACCTACCAAGACATTAAACCTTAATTTTAATTCAAAAGAAAATTTTCATTGAAAAATATCTCAACTCTTTAAAACTCTAAAAATATCTCAACTCTTTAAGCACACAATATTTCACTTTAAATCAATGTTAACTATTGCTTTGTTTCGAGCAATTAAAAAAATTAAAATAACTTCCAATAAAAATCTAACACAAAAAAAGTTTGTTTTGTTTGTGAATGCAACTTTGTTTGAGTGAAAAAGTATAAGAAACAAAATTTTCATTGTTTCTTTTATCATACGCCTACATTATACTTCTATGTCTTTGTAAAAGCTTTACAAGAATATCTCGAAAATTGTTTTTCAACTTCTATATATTTTTCACTATATCATTTATTCATATTTGTCTTTCAAAACAGTTTTCAAGCTCTCTTAGGCTTTGTTCTTTTGTAGTGATTTGGAGGAGATGATTTGAATGAATTTGAATGGATTTGATGGTAATTTTTTTGTTGTTTTTTTGAGTGGATTTGTGGGTAATTGAGAGTGGATTTAGAATTAAAGTATGTGAGAATTAGTGTAGGATTTTATTTATGTGACAGATTTAAAAAAATTGTTTAATTGATAGAAATTGAAGATTACCAAAATGTCCCTAGTAATATAAAATGTTATTTGTTAATGTTATATTTAATTGTAAAAATGTTTATAAAAAGTAAAAAATTAAAAATAATAATTAAAATTAATTTTTTAAAAGTAAAAAAATTATAATTTAGTAAAATGAATTTATTAAAAAAATTATAATTTTTAGAAGTAAAATGAATTTAGTAAAAAAATTATAATACTTAGAAGTAAAAAAAATTTAAAAGCACCTTTTCAAAACCACAATTTCTCCTGCAAATTAGAGTTGCAAAAGAGTAAGAAGGATTCATAATACTTCTTATGCACTACAAAAAAGATGAAATGTGGAGAGTTGAAGAACTTTTGAAGCATAATTATTTTTAGTTCTTTAATATATTTTTATTCTGCACCGCCCTTGTATTCTGGGTCGGAGAAAGTTTGGGTTTTGGTGGAGTCACTGCCACCTCTGACGGTCTTTGTGGTTTGGGAGGGGGTGATGTTTGAACCTGAGCAACAGTGGTGGTAGGTGGTGGTTGAACAGTGTTTTGACTACCATTGCCACTGCGAGTGCCTGATCCATAAGCAGCGCTAAATTCTGCGTTTGATTTATTCTCCTTGTTGTCGTGACAACCCATTTTCTGTTGGGAAGGATTTGGGAGAAGATTGAACCACGGAATGGAGCTCTCTGCAATACTCGAGGTATGGAACCGGATCCAGCTCGTCTGTGAATGCTTCCAAGCACTGGAACCGAATACTCCAACTATGTAACCAGATACAAGTCCTGTGTGCATGGTTCGAAGGTCTGGAACCGAATACTCCAGGTATGTAACCGAATACACTTTCTTCTATTTCGTGATGAAGCACTGTTCATCGTCTTCTTCACCTTCAAACACGCACATTCAACTTAACATAGTGTTCTTCATGCCATCAACTCCTTCTTCCTCCTCGTGTACAACCCTGCAACTCATAAAGAACAACAAATCCTCGCATGCGACATTTCAGTAACAATAGTTCATCTACAAGGAATTCTGTAATAGTTGGAGGGCACATGCGACATTTTAGTAACAATCTTCGCAAATCTCTTCACTTTCGCCGATGATGAAAAATGATGTCATTCCGCAAATCCGTCTTCAGCATTCATCACTTATCCTCTCATCCGAACACGACTTCAAATGAGATTCATAGCTCGCATTCGCTTCTAAACAGTAAATTCTCTTCAAGCGAACACAACGTTAAACTTTCATTCTAAATGATAACATTCAATTACATGACGTGGATACATCTATATATAATAATATTCCAATAATTTGGAAATAAAATGAGACAAGTTGTATTTGTTTCCTAGGGCTGAGTACCAACAAGCCTAAAAAAGTTTAACTTTCAAAATTTTATGAATCTTATACCAAATCAATTTAGTTAAAACAAACCTTCAAATCTGATTAAGTTTAAAATTAATTAAAATGACATTTTTTATTAAACTTTTCCAGTAACTATTAAGATATAGTTGGAATGTATTTCAGCAACAAATTAAAAAAATCATAACTTTCAAAATTACATTAACTCTCTCTTTCATTTTTATTTCTTAGTTTTACCCTTTTTCTTCTTTCCCGTTGTCTTTTATCTTGTCTTTCTCATTTTCGAATAATAAGGCCCTCAATTCAAACATTAAAGTGCCAAAATTCGTGGTGTCAACTCTGAAACTCACGTACACATGTGGACTACGTTGGTCCATGTTTCTCCAAATATTTGGTGTGTGGCCAGGATTCACTGTCTTCAGATTCCATACCAATGGCAACTTCCACCCTCTCCCACCAAAGTGCACGGCCGTTCCCCACGGCGTGCGCCAGTTCCGGCCCACCAAGAACCGCCGTTAGCCTACGGCGGCACCTCCCACCTTTCCCCAAGCCCCGAAAACTTGCTCTCAGTGTAAAAAACAGCAACCGCTTCAAGTGGGTCATTCAGTCGAGCTTAGCGGAGCAAAGCCCACCCAAAACGTTCGACATTCAAGAACTCGTGAGATTTCTTTATGACGATCTCACACACCTCTTCGACGATCAAGGTATCGATAAAACGGCCTATGACGAACGTGTCTTCTTTCGAGACCCTATTACCAAACACGATACTTTGAGCGGCTACCTCTTCAACATTGCGCTACTCAAAACAATATTCAAGCCCCAGTTTCAGTTGCATTGGGTCAAACCGGTCGGTTTCAAATTTAACTTCTCTTCATCTTATCTTCTTCGCTTTATTGTAGAATTTGTTCTATTGGACTAATGGAGTTGCTATAGACAGGACCGTATGAGATAACTACTAGGTGGACCATGGTTATGAAATTCGCTCTACTTCCTTGGAAACCGGAGCTGATCTTTACTGGAACTTCCGTAATGGGCATTAACCCAGAAAATGGCAAGTTTTGTAGCCACCTGGTAAGTTTCAAGTTCCAATTATCTAGTAGTGATGCTATGCTACCAAATTATGGTTTTTAGATTAACAAATATTTCATGTTGGCATTGAGCTTTTCATTCCTTAATTTTCCAGGACTTTTGGGATTCAATACAGAAAAATGACTATTTTTCTTTCGAAGGTCTGTTGGATGTGATCAGACAGGTATCCCTTCTATTTCACAATCAATCTATGTATGTTTTAGACCTTACATTCTCACAAAGTCGAAGTCTTCCGAAATTATTCTAACTAGGAGGGCTTGTTTTGCAGTTGAGGATTTATAAGACACCGGAATTAGAATCACCAAAATATCAAGTATTGAAAAGGACGGCAAATTATGAGGTTAATCGTGTCATTCATCAATATAATTGTTTTTCATTGATAGTTTCATCGATTATCTTCATTTCTAATGTAGTAGTCTGATTCATGATAAAATAACGTGCCAATCTGTTGAAATGATTAATGTCTGATTAAATACAAAGGTAAAAATTCACTCTTGTACGAGTACCAGATTGAATCTTTACTATTGTTATCTGATGCACTATATTTTTCATTTTTAATGATGAAACAGGTTAGACAGTATGATCCATTCATAGTTGTCGAAACAAATGGAGACAAGCTATCTGGGTCTACAGGCTTTAATGATGTTGCTGGGTAAGATTTAAAATTTTAAGTGAAGCTGTTGTTTGTTTGTTCTTAGAGTCTGCCTTAGGTTAATCATCCCCTACATACGCAGATATATATTTGGAAAGAATTCCTCGATGGAGAAGATACCAATGACTACCCCTGTATTCACTCAAAGCAATGATGCTGACCTGTCCAAAGTTTCAATCCAAATAGTTCTTCCATCAGACAAAGAAACAGAAAGGTATTGTTCTGAGTTTTTCTTGTCAACAAGTTTTGTGCTAAGACATTCATGTCATAGCTTAATAGAGAACTACAGTTTTGTGCAAAATAATATGTAAACATAAAAAAAAAAGTGTGATATCTTCAGTTGAAGTTAAAGGTTTGTGCTTACTATTTAATCTTGAGCAGTTTACCAAGTCCTAATCAAGAAACAGTTCGCGTGAGAAAGAATGAGGGAGGCATTGCTGCAGTAATGAAGTTCAGTGGAAAACCCACAGAGGATATTGTTTGTGAAAAGGAGAAAATCCTACGCTCCAATATCATTAAAGATGGTCTTAAACCTCAGATTGGTTGTTTGCTTGCACGATACAATGATCCGGGTCGGACATGGACCTTTACAATGGTATGCTACGAAGCCTGCTTTATTATGTTTGTGGATTTCTGATATGTGTGCTTGCTCTGCTTATACTACTTCTCAGTGTAGATACCTTAGGTATACTTTGGATGAATTATTTAGCTATAGAGATTAGGTTTGACAATAATAACAAAGAAGGAAACAGGATTATCCCTATTATTGGATGGGAGTGTGTTAGGAATCTATACAAGAAAAAAAAATCCTAATCAAGAACCAACTCGCACCACAACAATGATAACTGTATAAATTTCCTCTTTACATATCTAATAAACAAACTCCGACAAAACCATAGGTATACAAGTATCTCCCAAAAGGAATATTATCATTTTCACTCGGGAAAAATCTAGTTAAAACAATTATCTAAAAGTTGCCTCCCAAACACTAAAGAGGCTTATTTATAACTCAGTTTCCCACTCCAAAATTAAAATCTGACCCTTTTTCTTTTTCTATAATAGTGATGTAGAGGTTTATTACACTCCTTGAAATTATTTCTAACAATACATCTCTCTTTCAAAAAGAACCTTGTCTCAAGTAGGAGTTAATTTACTCAGATCAAAGTTCGGCAAATGAGGAGACTCTCTTTACCTTGAAAGAATCTTCCGATGATGAGGACGGAGACTATCTTTTCATTGGAGGAGTTAAATAGCATCAACCTCTCTCCCCTTAGTCTGGAATTGAGATGTAACTTTGAAAAGGCCATATCGCTTATATGGACCCAGGTGCTCAAAAGAGGATAATGAACCTAGATATTATCCGAAACAGTACTGGAAAAAAGAGACATGTTATTTCATAGTGGCCGACGAGAAAATCTTTAGAACTGATCTTGTCACCAAAGCTCCGATTGGGATAAGATTTTTCCCCGAATGTACAGTATAGGTCAAGTTCATAGGAAGTAAACTGCCCAATAAAGATATCCTGGTAGGGATGGACATTTATTCTGAGGCTAAGGATCTCCAGATTCATTCCACAGGGATCCAATTAAAAAGAGAATTCAAGCCTTTTACAAAAATAACAGAGATTATTTTCTATTACTGGAGTGCCCACACAATTAGAAGGGATCAAGAAAAAGCTAATCACTCTGTGCTGACAGTCATGAAGAATTCTCACATCCCAGTCCAATCTGGAAGAATCCAAAATTCTTCATCCAACTTCACTTTCAAGCTTAATGAAGATATTAATCCAACCAAGGCTACTCATCCTGGAATGACTCCTACAGATTTACAGTTGGCCCATCAAGATTGCCAAGAAATATTAAGACAAGGACCTTCGGGTGAAAATACAAACCTTTAAACCATTTCCTAAAAGATGATAAATTTCTACTCAAAGAATCCAACACTTTTCCAAAGTTCGATTTAAAACTTGGGCTTTGGCATTTAGGAATCCATCCCTCTGATAGGCACAAAACTACCTTCTGTATTTCCAATGCCCAGTATCGGTGGACTGTACTTCCTTTTGGGTTAAAAGAAGCCTCCTCTTTGTTTCAAAAAGTAATGACCCAAATATTTGAACCTCTCTTAGAACATGCAATCATCTACATAGATGATATCTTTCTATTTTCCAAAAATATGAAATCGCACAAGGCTCTCCTTGAACAATTCTTTGATCTAGCTAACCAGTTTGGCCTTATGTTTTGAGAAAAAAGATTCATTTGGTTCATCGGAAATAGATTTTCTGGGTATGCATTTCTTCCAAGGAACATACTAGCCTCAACCTCACATAGCTGGGGAGGTACTAAACTTCCCAAACGAATCTCTCACTGTTAAGCAGATTCAACAATTTCTTGGGACTCTCAATTATATCCGAGATTTTATTCCACATGCAGCTAAATATACTAATCTTCTATCCAAACTTTTGAAGAAAGATCCCCTACCTTGGGGCCTAGAACAGACCCAAGCTGTCAAATGAAAGCTTTCAAGATCTTTGTGAAAACTATGGTATAAGTGATAACTTTTCTACTCGTAGGATACCACTACAAAATGTTGTTGGTGGAAGAAAGAATCGTGCTTTACAAGAAATGGCTTAGACTATGCTTGATACAGACTCCAAGCCTAAACACTTACGGACAGAAACAATCAATATAGCCTGCTATTCACAAAATAGAATTTACATTAAACCCTGATTAAAAAGACTCCCTATTATAAGTTGTGGAAAAACAAAAAGTCCGACATATATTATTCTCATCCTTGTTGGCATTCAATGCTTTATCCTTAATACCAAGGAAAGTTTGGGTAAGTTTGACTCCAAAAGATATAAACGAATCTTACTTGGATATTTGGAAACGTCTTAAGGTTTATAGAATCTACAATTCTCGAACGTCTATAGTGGAAGAAGTCATTCATGTAAATTTTAATAACCACAAACCTGATTAGGAATTTCAAAGCAAGACAAATCTATTGGTTTTGATTTACATCATATACAAAGATACTCCATTGCATCATACAGTTTACAAGAGCCACTAGACAGTCCGACAGAAGAATGAGAACCATTGAAAGGAATTCCAAGTTGACCAAGAATCGCCCATTAGATGTTATACTAGGATATCTTAGTGAAGGAATCACAACACCAATTTTAGCATACAACAACAAAAACTTAGTTTTTTGTGTCAGAGACTTTATTAGACGTGAGTCATAAGCTAATGGCTTCTTGAGAAGATCTTACAAATTCGAACCAAATTTATTTCTTATTATAAGTCTTGACTCTTGTGAGTAATGTTGTATGAGCTCCTAATGAACATCGTTTGGAAGTCACATGAGGAAAAACAATACGATGAATTAACAAAGTCTAAGCTTCTTATTTCCTTAAAACTATTTTATATCTTTTCTATCCACGGTCAATAGTATTACTTCATTTTCAATAAAGATCTATTTTATCCTTTTGAAAGTTGTTACACTGACTTGATTTGGTCGGCTTAATTAATGACAATTGATTCATTTGTTTTGTGGGTCATGACATGGAAGAGGAATGAAGTGCTCATATGGCTAAATGATTTCTCGTTGGATTAGCATCAATGCAGAAACCGTAGCTGTTGTTATTATCACTGCACACAACTAATTTTTCCATCATATATGAGTATATGAAAAATGTTGTTAAAAGTTCTCTGGTAAAGAATGAGAGATGTTTGGAACCAAAAATAGGAAATATAATTTGGAAAAAAAATTAAATAGGAGATAATCAATGTGCATGTTTATTAGCAACAACTCATCAAGTTGTAAGAGAACTATAAATGTTCTTTATTAAATACAATTCAACAAAAGAAAAAGTGCTACAGCAATAAGTTCATTGAAGTGATTCAAGTTCGTAACCTATTTGATAGTGGGCCTATATCTATATTCAAGACCCAGTAGACAACTGCTAATTCATTAAGGCAGTTTCCTGCACCTCCATAAAAAAAGACACCTCATTTTTATTTTTATTTTTGGATTGGACAATCTTGTAATTCAAAAATTACTTATAAATTGTGTAATCTAGAAGTCAAAATTAATTAGGATTAAGAAAATAATAGTTTCTAGATTGTATAATTTGAAAGTCATTTGACTTTTGAATTATATAATCTAGAAATTATTTTTGAATTACTTAATTTAAAATTTATTTTTAATTTTTAAATTACATAAATTGAAAATCAATTTTAAGTTCTGCATTTACAGTTCTAAAAAGAAATGGGGGAAGTAACTAAGTATGAAAGTCATGAAAAGTTCTGAGAACATCATAGAATAACCTTTGAATAATGTTTGGTCAAGAAAAATGGCTCTTTGCCATTCCAAACGCCAATGCTTTAGAGCCATTGATGTCACCCACTTGGCATAGGCGTATATTTTGTAAAAAAGCAACCATAATTTGAGTTACAGTTAAGAATTAATTTATTCCCACTCTTTAATATCTTTGCTTTATTTTCTTTCAATTCAACGGATCCAATAAATACCTTATTTTTTATAGTTACATTAAATGAAAATAAAAGTAATTAATTTATAAAGAGTAAGTTATTATTGGATAAACACTCCTTGTTACAAAATTATGAGAAGGAAAATTATAAATTAACCGTTTTAATAATGATGATAACATATTTACAACACTCATCATCACGTACAGTGATAAATTCTGTAGACTTGATAACATAATTGTTAACCTCTATCATACAAATGTAAACGTAACTTGACATACGGGAATAAGATATCAAAAAAGAAAACTAAAAAATTCGAAGCAGAAAGACGAAAGAAAACACTTCAAATGATATTATTATGAATGAGAACAAAGTACAAAAACACTCAATTTGGTTTATAATAAAAGAAAAAAAAATTATATAAAGACATGGAGAAAACCACGTCTGAAATGTGGCAACACAACACGAGCACTCATAGAATCATGCGAGGACCAACTACAACCTCCTTTCCAGATTTAGGAGTACATTAATCATGCCAGCACAATAACATATCCGGCAACCATTATCCTTCTATCAAATTTCTCTATATCACATTTGATTACTCTTATAAATATCATTACAACTTCAACAACCAGGACGATTTTTTAACAACTAGAAATTAATATTTCTTTTATATAGAAAATCAGACTAAACTGCGACCACAACATATAATAAAAATATTTTACCAAACCATAAGTTCTAATACAACTCTAGAAGAAAAAATGCGTCATCGTGAATAACATTAACATTTTTATCCTCGATAATTACCCTACCAATAGATAAATAACATCAACATAAGAATATAACGTGGAAATTTCAAAATCGGAGAAAAATCACAATTATTATTTAATGACAATCAGATAATAATACTATGTGAAAAAATTTACAACACATAAATTACTCTCTGGTGTCCTTTGATTCCAAGTACACCCATACCCTTCAAAGCAAAAATTTAACCTAAATCTTACAACACTTTACTATAAAAGTATAAGAAAAATCAAATACAAACTTAAAGTAATTTTTAACGGGTATTTTAAACCATGAACCTAAAATCCATTATATAATTATTCTCATCACGCCATTGTGACTTATCTTATGTGAGATTTTTCAAAAAAACATATTATTTTTATCAACTCAACACATGACCTCATATTTGTTGAATATTTTGAAAAAGACTAGAAATTAAGCTTTTATTTTCTATCTCAGGTTACCCATAAACTAATGACAAACAAAAGTAACGAATAAACATTTATATTTCTAGAAATACTTTTAAAAGCCGATGAAATTGTTTGAACTAACTATCTATTTCATATAAAACTTGTTTTATGACCAAATAATTTATAAGATTATTAATTGCTCCTTTTAATGTTTTTAAGATTTTCATTCTATCACTTTTCTTTACTTACTTTCGACTTTGAATACAATTTTTTTATTTAATAAGTATCCAAATCTTGATTTGTTAAAAAGTATAAAAAAAATTAAAATCCGAAAATTGAAAGGAAAGACTAAAAAGTGTGTTGAATAAAATGAATTTTGAAGAAAGAGATTAAGTTGAGCTTTATTTAGAAAAAAGAAAAGGTTTCATCTTAACTATTTTTTTATTACTTATTTAATATTTTCACAGAAACACAAGGAAAATATAATTAGCATTTTTAATCATATTATTAATAAGAAGTATTACATGTCTTTAAATAATTAATAGATATTATTTTATCCTTTAACTACCTTACAAGAAAGTACTAAAAAAGGACAAATATACTGGCCTCAAAAACATAAAATACATTCGACACTCACACGTAATAAAAATAAAAAAAGGAATATTAACAGAAAAAAAATATGACAGACAAGTTTAAAATTATTTCTCTTTTAAAAAAACTAATTTTAAATTCCTGCCTTCGAACATATGTATTTTTTATTTTAGAAAATATATATTATATTAACATATATTTATATATTATATTAAAAGATATTTAGAAGTCGAAGAAAATAATAATAATACTTTAAGTTTATAATAAAATTTTGAATAAAATCAATGTGAAAATTATTCATAAGTTTAAAAAGTCAATATATATAAAAATATAAAGGGTAAATTTTGTAAAAATACAAAGAATATAACATATGAAAAAATATAGAGTAAATTTTCTAAAAATAGAAAGAATAGATTATGCAAAAATATGTTGAATATATTCATAATAAATACAAATCATGTATGGATATATTGGTGTGTATTGTTAGATTCGTATAATCAATGCATCAACAATTTTGTCTAATATCTAATGTTAGACTCGTGTAATCATTGTATGGACACACTCATCTAATGTGTATTGTTATACTCATCTAATGTGTATTGTTACACTCATCTAATATGTATGACCAAACTCGTCTAATGTGCATTGCAAAACATATTTAATCAGAGAATAAATAGAGTTGTATAATGTGTATTAATAGACTCTATAATATGTGTATAAAGAGACTTATCTAATGTATATTACTAGACTCTTTTAATTAATGTATGGACAAAGACATATAATGTGTTTAACAAAATTCGTTTAATTAATGGATGGACTGACCTGATGTATATTGTTATACTCATCTAATTAATGCATGAAATGACTTGTTTTATGTTTTATGTAAAAAATATTTGTCTAATTAGTGTATGGATGAACTCGTCTAATGTGTATTGCTAGACTCATCTAATTAGGATATGAACAAATTTGTTTAATGTATATTGCAATATTCATCTAATAAGTGAATGAACATACACATCTAATGTGTATTAATACACTCGTCTAATCTGTGTATGAAATAACTTGTCTAATATATATTGTTAGACTCGTCTAATCAATATATGAATGACTTGTCTAATGTGCATTGCTAGACTGGTTTGATCAATTCAACAACAACTCGTTTAATCAAAGTATTTTTAAACTTATCTAATCAATGTATGGAATGTCATGTCTAATATATTTTTGTTATACTCTTCTAATTAATGTATCTACAGTATCGTCTAATGTGTATTGTTAGACTCATGTAATATTTTTTGCAATATTTGTCTGATAAGTGTATGAAAAGACTTGTTTGATTAATATTTCTAGACCGTCTAATCAATGCATTGACATAATATTTTAATATGCATTGCTAGACTTATCTCATAGGTATATAGACATACTTGTATAATGTGTATTATTAAACTCATATAATCAGTTTATATTCAAACTCGTCTAATGTGTATTGCAAGACTTGTCTAATTAGTTAATGGACAAACTCGTCTAATGTGTATTAATACATTTGTCTAAATTGTGTATGAAAAGACTTTTGTAATTTATTTTGTTAAACTCATCTTATCAATATATGAAAAAACTAATATAGTATTTATTGATAGATTCATCTAGTTAACATATGAATAATATTGTCTAATAAATATTTTAGACTCATCTAATCAATGCATGTAATCAATGCATGTAATGAATCATCTAATAATTTTTTGCTAAACTCCTTCTATTAGAGTATTAATAAAATTGTTTAATAAATATTTATTTAAATTTGGCTAAAATATATTATAAGATTGTCTAATAGATCATCTTACCATTTTTAAGTATATTATTAATAAGAAGTATTACACATCGTTCAGTAATTAATATATATTATTGGTTTAAACCCTCGGATGATCCTCATATTTGTATGGGAATCTCAGTTGGATCCTCATATTTGAAACTGTCTCAATTGGGTCATAATATTTATAAAAATGAGCCAAATTTACCCTATCCGTTAAGTTGTCACAGATGGCGTTAACTTGAGTTGAGCTGTATTTTTTTTATGACATGGCATTCTGGATTAAGGGTGTTGCTCCCTCCACCACGACCCTATACTTCCTCCACCTCCCCACATTATTTTAAATACAATTATATCCTTAAGTTAAAAAGATTTTTACTTTTACCCTATTTTAAATAATTTGAAACCCTAATTTTACTTTCCCAACACCCACCCACGGAACTTTCTTCCCTTTTCCCCATTTCCGTTTCATCTCCCCACCTCCCGCACTTCCATTCCTTTTTCTTCCCAGTTTTTTTTGGTTTGAAAGCTTCCATTGCCATCGTGGTGTGAAGGAGCGTCGCCGTCGTGGTGTGGAGGAACATTGATGAGCGTCTAGAGCATCAACCAACGTGAGGAAGTATACATCAACGGAGGTAACATCCTTCAACGAATGTC